AAAATACTTGGAGAGAAATGTCTCTAATAAGGTACCACTGTTTGTATGAAGTTAATTCCAAAAAGGAAAGAAATTTAAAAAAAATACAATTTTAGGAGAAAATGTAGCAATAACACCAAACAGTTAAAGACCGCTTAAAGATTTTAAAATATATACCGAAAAAATTTTAAATGCATTTTTTTTAGCACTGTAACCTATCATTATTTTTGTTGTTTTTGTACTATTATTTTCTGTAAATTATAATAAGGTACCACTGTTTGTATGAAGTTAATTCTAAGAAGGAAAGAAATTTTAAAAAAATACAATTTTAGGAGAAAATGTAGCAATAACACCAAAAAGTTAAAGACCGCTTAAAGATTTTAAAATATATACCGAAAAAATTTTACATGCATTTTAGCACTGTAACCTATCATTATTTTTGTTATTTTTGTACTATTATTTTCTATAAATTATATCAAGTGAACGTGATTTTTACAATTAGCTACTATTAGGTATAAGTTGTACACACTGTTGTCCCTCAAATAATTATGATTATTGCATATGTCAATAAATCCGCCAAAAGGTAATATGTTATTTTTTATCATTTACCGAAAGACTTGTGCTGCTAGTGCTTTAAGAAAACGTCTCACTAATTCTGCCGGATACAAATATCGCTTGAGGGCGTTTGTCTAGAACCTTGAGATGATTCGGATCAGGCCTTTTATGATCAAGTTTACTTGAATTGTGGTGCATAAAAAGTACTGATGAGTCCTTTTACAATTAGGATCAATTTTGCGGCGCCTTTTATGCACCATCATGCGAGTGAACAGGATCATAAATCCTGGTACCGATCATTCCACTTAGCTTTTCCATTCAATAGTCTGAAATTTAATCCCAAACTTTTAATTCCAGAATCTAAAACACTTTTTTCATTATTATTTTAAAGTTTACGCTGTTATATCTGGTAGCATTTCTTATTGATTTCTGCTTGTCTACTTTAACTCGAAAATTGAATTTACGTCATTACGGTTATGTGATTGATGAGATCATCCACGAAGACAACAATTATTGGTTGAGTTAGTAAGTAATGGCGCGGATAGGATTGTTTATTATTTGGGGTCCTTGGCTAGGATGGGGTTGCAAAAGAGAAAGTTCCTATTTCAGAAGTCCGGAGGTTGGCATCACTGTCTGCTTCAGCAATAATGTGTATGGATTGTATGCATGCGGTGATGCTGAAGCCTTCCTCAGTGTTCATTTCACTTTTATCTCAGATTATGGCTACCTTATTTAGTAAAAAGAAAGGTCGAACATTAACAAAAATATATTTCGAATGTGTTTGTGAATAAATTACATACTAATTTAAAAGAAGCGTTGGCCAGTTTTTAAGAGGTTATATTACGTCCTCGGAATGTGCAATTGCCAAGCCAGGTCGCATTCCATGTTCTTTACATTAAATAGGGGTATTGCGTAATGGGATTTAAGAGAGGCTACATGCTGTCTTGCATGAAATACTTCCTAAACTTCGATCCCTGCCTTTGATCAGCTGTGTTCAAGTTCCACTCGAACGCCTATTGAGTCTGATAACACCCTTCTTTGAGCTGCTGTTAGTTCGAAAGACTACACAGCAGTAACTATTTTGCTGTTCTCGTATTTTCTATCTTTTTCCTTATTCTGCCATCAAACAGGTTAGTGCATAGTACAAAGTTTGAATTTGAAAAACTGAAAGGACTCGTAACTGTCAACCACATGCACTACTTCAACACCCCTCATTAACAGACCCAGTGAAACCATATCCAATGGTTTATTAAGTCTAACCAGTGAGAATTTAGCCTCCCCCGATACCCCACGAATAGTTTGTTTCCACCCGACTGATTTTTTGCGTTCCCGGTCATTTTCTATTATTATTTCTAGACGACCATATATTTCATTGTTCATATTTGTCTAGAAGAAGCACAAATATAAAACATTATAACCATTGAGAAAAAAAAAAAAAAAAGAAGAAGGGCACAGGTAATCAATCTGGCATAAAAAAGTGTAAATCGTTTAGTTCTTCTATATACAGCAATAATTTTAAGTAAAAGGTGTTCAAAGTTGTAGTAAAGATGTAAGGCCTGTCACCCCTTTCCACTTTTATGGGAAGTACACAACTAAGAAGAAAAACCTGGTAGAAAATAAACCAATCCAGTGACGTTTTCTCTGAGCCCATTGAAAATATAGATTACTCAAGCATGTTAAGGCATGCATGGCTTGTGGTAATTTGCATAAAATCTTATAATGATCATAACTTTGTGAAAATTTATCAGAACCTTCCAAAATTTGGAAACCTCAGAAATATCGGTAACCTTAATTTCCCTGTAAGGTAAGAAATCAGATATCTGTGTCACGTGACCACTTATGGTCGAGTCCAGGAAAGAAAAGAAAACTAAAAATGGGGTGGCGAGATGCCACACAGTATTATTAAATACGGTATTTTTGCTAATGTTTCATCATTTCTCTCTTGAATCTGGCCGTAATGGTTGACTCACGTTTTTATTTAATTAGTAATTAAGCAAAATAGGTCACGTGACACTTTTCACCTGTTAATATCTTACATATAGAGACTTTTCGGGTTTGAAATGTTTCGAATTAACGCTATATTTATTCATTCAACTGCAAATGGATATCGTCACCTCGTGAAGTCTGGGAATGCCGCCTGTAGATCGATAGAAGGAGAGGAAATCCCTTCATATAAAGACTTTTCGGTTTAAAATATTTCAGTAGAATTAACGCTATATTTATTCATTTAACTACAAATGGATATCGTCACCTCATGAAGTCTGGATAGAGACTTCTCGGTTTAAAATATTTAGAATGAGTGCTATCTTTATTCATTCAACTACAAATGGATATCGTCACCTCATGAAGTCTGGCGTGCCGCCTGTAGACCGATAGAGGGAGAAGAAATCCCTACATACATGTATAGAGACTTTTCGGTTAAAAATATTTAGAATAAGCACTATCTTTATTCATTCAATTTCAAATGGATATCGTCACCTCATGAAGTCTGGGCGCGCCGCCTGTAGACCGATAGAGGGAGAAGAAATCCTTACATATAGAGACTTCGTTTTAAAATATTTAGAATAAGCGCTATCTTTGTTCATTCAACTACAAATGGATATCGTCACCTCATGAAGTCTGGGCGCGCCGCCTGTAGACCGATAGAGGGAGAGGAAATCTCTACATATAGAGACTTTTCGGTTTAAAATATTTAGAATGAGTGCTATCTTTGTTCATACAACTACAAATGGATATAAAAAAACTTTACGGTTCAAAAATACTTAGAATTAAGCGCTTATCCTCAATAACTGTAAATTATCTCTTTTCGACACTTTTCTATGCTTTATACTGTTTATTCATGAAACTAAATGTATGATCAAGAATTTAACAAAGCTATTATTTGCGTTGTTTGCTTGTCACGTAATCTTTCCAATTTTGGCGGGCTTCACCTTATATTTCTGCGGGCCTTCTGGGGATCTCTACTGCCTCCTTCTGTAATTTCTCAGGACATTTCGTCGGTGCTTTAGTAATACTCATCGTTAACCTGTTTGATTATCCTCGATTGAAACCGTAGGATTCTATCTACCAATCGAATATGCGTTCGTAAAGTCAACCATGCTCAGCGTATTTTAGCAACACACAAGCTTCAATATGTGAAATCATTGTTTCTGTTGGGTTTTTAAAATCCAGATTATTCGCCGATGAGCAAAAATGCATGCAGTGTGTATGCACGCGCAGTTAAAGAATGTAACAAGACGCCCAAAGTCGTTTCAGTGGGATGCGTTGGTCTATGGAAGCATAATGGCGTTCTATGTGAATTTGGAAAAATAAAGGAAACCGGAAAGATGTGTCATGTTATGAGCATCGATGAGTAGGTTACCTGTATGACCTATATGGGTTGGTTTAATGTGCTTATGACTGAATTTATAGTAGCCTGCGTGACAGGCTACTATTTCTCCCTAATCCACATCCCCTTTTTGCTTCCTCCCTATCCCCTACCCCTTTCGACACCTGCTACGCAAGCTAAATTTATAGCGGGGCTCCCGCGCGCGAAGCGCGCGTGGGACAGAGCCCCATACTCATGGAATATGGTCAGCCTCTTTTCGCTTGGTTGTTGTACGCGTCTACAGATTGTACGGGTAGGGTAGGGGAGACTATCAAAAGGAAGGGAGGGGTGTCTCAGGCGTGTCTTGGCAAGTCCTCATCTTTTATATATGACACTCACAATATGGTCAATTGACAACTGTCAAAACAGGATAGCCACTGACCAGTATCCCATGACCATATCGCGGGCTCATGTGTCAACTCATCGAGGTGACGTGATTTATTTGGAAGCTGTCCGCTGACCAGTTAATCGTTTTAGAAAATCGCGAACAATGTTCAATCATTTCAATCATACTTTTTAGCTTGTTTGGGATCGGAGCACAGGAAAACTGATACACATATTGGACATCAATGTTGTGATAAATTGACAGCTGTCAAAACAAGGTATCCGCTGACCAGTATCACTTGAGCTAATCGCGGGCTCAGGTGTCGACCCATCGAGGTCAATTATTTTTTGAAGTTATCCGCTGACAAGGTACTGGAGTGCCACAGGACGGAAAAAGATCCGTACCTGCCATAGTTAAAAGTCGTTTCCAACACTT